TATAAGAGTATTTTTTATCAAAAATAACACAAACGAGCGGTATTCATTTTTTTATAAGAAATGTTTGAAATTAGTGACTTTCGATATTTTACGTGAGTGGAATTAATTGAGCGATAGTCTGTAAAGAGAGGCAGCATTAGTGCGTAAGAAAGAAACCAATAGCCATAACCTATTGGTGTCTTTTTCTTGCCGCAATACCTCCTTAAAGTTTGATTAGTTGAAGATGAAATACTTTGAATTTTTATCAGATTACAAATTCTTTAGAAAATTTTAATTAATTTTTCTAATATGATATTGAAGTTTCCTTTTCTTTTTTTAATTTAAAATTTACCTTAATTTATTTTACAAAAAGAAATCACTTGTTTAAAAATAAACAACTGTACTGACAATAATAAAAAATTATCTAGATGTCGATGAGTGTAAACAGCAAGGCGGCCTGGAGGGTCACCATTGCAATAAAAATACCCGATGTGTCAACGTCGTCGGCTCATACACGTGCGAGTGTCTTCCCGGGTACCAGAGGGTGGACGGATTTAACTGTGCCGAGCTGGACGAGTGTGCGACCGGTCATCATTTATGCTCCGAACACGCGACCTGTGTCAACACGCCTGGTAGTTACTATTGTATCTGCAAGGACGGATACTCTGGAGACGGCTACTCTTGCAAACGTAAATTCATCCATCAGCTTATCTTTCTCTATCAATATTTAAATTCTGCTGAATTATAATAAAGCAATGTTTAATTATTTTCAGCGGTGTGTAACCAAACCTGCCAAAATGGTGGTGAGTGTGTTGCTCCAAGTAAATGTTCCTGTCGACGAGGTTACATCGGTAACAGCTGCGAGCTGGATTTGGACGAGTGTGCAAGTGATCTGCACAGATGTCATCACTCTTCGACGTGTTTCAATATGCCTGGATGGTATTATTGCCGCTGCAAACCTGGTTACCGTAGTGATCTTCACGACACTACCGGAGGGACTCACTGCGTGGACATTGACGAGTGCAATGATCAGACACTCGAAAAGAGACACACCTGTCATCCGACTGCCAGATGTGTTAACACTGATGGTGGATATGAGTGCGCTTGTTCTCATCAAGAAACGCCACTCAATGAATGCAGTCTAAGTAATTTCGTTTTATCTATTTTTAAATCAATCTCTTTCATAATTGCCATTCAATTTAACAGACATTTTTTAATGTTAAGTTTTTTAAAATTAATAATTTATTATAAAGAAAATTTTTTAAAAAACTTACATCTATTTTTCTGTCATAATTTATCTGTTATTTATAAAAAAATCGTAAAAATGATCAAATGTCTGTTAATTTAATGTAAAAATTTAATATTTAGATGGTATAAGCAAAAAAAAAAAAAAATAGAAAAATTACAATTTTGAAATATAATTTTCAAAAGTTTTGTAAGAAAAAAATTTAAAAACTCTAAAACAGAATTTTATATTAAAAAAATGTTTTCTAAAGTTGTAATTTTTACAATTTTGAGGAGATCCTAGTGAAGTTGTTATTAATTTAATTACTAAAAAATTTATAAAAATATCAAAGCTTAATAATTTTAAAAAAAGAAACTAAATTGTTTTCTAGCTACTTTGATTGAGTTTTAATTTTGAAAAGTTTTAGGAAACATTTTTTAATTTCTTGGAAAAAAACTCCTGAAACTTTTTGCAGAAGAATAAGTATTATTTAAATTTTAATAACTTGACAAAATTTTTCCAATTTAAACATAATTGTATTTTACGTACTTTTATTCTCTACTATATTATTATAAAAGTTTACTTCTTACAGAGTTTGTCAAAATTCTATTTTGAAGCTATAATTTTAAATTTTTTTGCTCAAGGCACCTAAATATTAAAATTTACTCAATAAACTGTAAATATTAAACTCCTTTTTTCATGCAGAATTATTAATTAATTTAAATATCATATTCAGAAAATTAATTACTTACTAATTTAAAAAAAAAATAATTACATTGATCAGTCTATTTATTAATCTATCTACTCACTAGACTGCTGGTACGAAGATCGTGAAATTGAGAATGGCGAAGTTTTCGCCCCAGCTGGTAACCCCTGCAGACAATGCACCTGCAAGGATGGTGTAGTAACATGTAGAGACCCAATTTGCGACTGTAGTTCGCCAAGAAGTAGAAGAGACAAATGTTGTCCTCAGTGTGATCCAGCTGCGTCTTGCCGGCATCAAGAGCTGCATCATCTTGTCTTCAGAAGCGGGGAACGGTGGATTTATCAATGTCAGACTTGCGAGTGCCTGGTAGTATTTTTAAATATTAATTAATTATTTCCATCAATATTTAAAAATTTATAAACTAATTGTGTATATAATTTATTTATAATTAGTACGGCGAAATAGACTGCTGGCAAATGGAATGCCCACCGGTGACTTGCAGCAACCCAGTAACTGAAGACGGGGACTGTTGTCCGCGTTGCGAGGACGATCCATGTGCTCGAGAGAACCATGTTAACGGCACATCCTTTTCATCATCCTCGAGTCATCCGCAGCCGTGCAGTTATGCCGGCATTGTTCACGAAAGTGGGAGCGCCTGGCAGGACCCGCACGACAAATGCACCACGTGCGAGTGCAAGGTAAGCGGTCACTAATGAACCGAGACTTCATCAGAGACTGGCAGTCATCTGGGTTCTGTAAACATACCTCAAGTATAAAAAATTATGTTACCAAGATTTGCTCGTTGTTATTGTATAATTCGAAGCTTCGTGTCTTCTACCAGTTTTATTTATTATATATACATATATAATTTTTTTTTTTTTTTAACAACATTAAATATTATCTTGGGTAAATGAATAATATATATAGAGAGATATGTATACATATACATATACATATACATATATAATAAGGTCAGTAAACGAAGTATGTTGCCTTCGCTTGACCTAAATGTCTAGTCGCTGATGCGCGCCATTATTTTATTATTTAGAGAGTTGTTTTTAAAAAATTTTATGTTAATTGTTAAATAGTATTTTATTATTATTATCATTATTATGATCAATATTATTATTATTATGATTATTTTTATTATTAATATTAATATTACTATTATTATTTAAGTGTTAACACATTATGCGTAGCTGAACGGCAAGCAGCCTCAATGCTTCTCAACTTATACAAAAAAAAAAAAACAGATACACAAATTACGTACACACGACTATTACGACTTTTTTTGTTTATATTTTTAAATTTCAAGTATCACATCATTAAAATTGAAAAAAAAAAATTTCCGATACCGGGAATCGAACCCGGATCTTCTGGGTGAAAGCCAGATATGCTAACCAGTACACCATATCGGATGTTGTTGCTCCGTTCTGAGCATTATCGTTATGTACTTGATTTACTAAAGGAACAGACATTGATTTGCAATAAAAATTTTAATCATGTGACATAAACTCATATTATTTAAATATTTACAACAGAAGTAGGTAATCCTCGTTCGTATGCAGTTAAACTATTTTTAAATTAACAAAATATATTTTAACTAATAACTTTAAACTCGATTACTTTAATCGAGGCTGTGGCTGTGCGCTGACATATAATTAAATTAACGCTAGTGCATTTAAATTATTAATATATATTAATAGTTTGTATCATTACTAATGTAAGCAATGTTAATTGAATAGTAAATCCGTACAGGGACGTTCCCAAGCCAGATTTTTTAAAAAATTAAAATTCACAATATTTTGTAATAAAATTTATTAAAATGCTGGCTTCCTGCTCAAAGCTTTTTTTATTATTATTATTGTACAATTTTTTTTTTTAATTTAAATAATAACAGTTATTATTATTATTCAACGATCGAGTCCACGATCGCACGTGCTTTGGGTCGGCCCTGCATGGATCATTCAGTGCTACATAAATTTATTTTTCAATACTTATCCATCCGATCGAACTATTTTTTTGCACCAGTATTTAATTAAAAAAATTAGTTTTTAAATTGCTAATTTTAAATAAATTTATTTTTCGAGAATCACAGATGGCTTAGTTTATTATTAGGCTGCTAATTAATAATTGGTAATGAATATTAATATATTAGAAGTAAAAATAGTTCGAACGGATCAGTAACATATGAATAATCCCAAACATGCTAATATATTTAACCTGATGATTTATTGCCCGTGAAAACTAACCGACTAATTAGCCTAACGATGGGTATCCTTGCAGGTGCCGTACTGCGCCCAATTGGTGAGCAATAGCGCGTGTTGTGTGCATCGGTAATCACATCACTTCTATCTCACCTATATCTTCTCTCTTCTATAAATCTAATCTGCCTACTATACTACTCTTATTACTATTACTTTTACTAATAAATATTATTAAAATTAGTCGCTAATACTTATCGAGCTCAACTATCTTTTATCACTTTTTCGATTGCTTGCTTACTGCTATCGCTATCTCACTTTATTTCAAGTAAATCTCATTAAATAATTAAAAGTAAATTTTTTTTTTTTTTTTTTGAAGAAATAAATTTTATTAAAAATTATCTGCTCATGAGTGTCAATAATCTAGGATTTAAATTTCATTGAAAGTAAATAAAAAAATATTAAAGTCCCTCGTAATTCAGCATGTTTGCATAATTAACTATTTAACTAAAAAATTTCTATAATTCACTGCACAATTTAATTATTGTTGATATTATAATAAATAATAATTATTTTTTAAATTATTTTAACGCACGAGGAGACACCTACATTCAATATTTAAATGCACAATTACACTGGTTTTTTTTTTTATTTTATAAATAAATATTTTTTTTTTTCACACTCGTGCCTGATTTGCACACTTCTTTCGTTTGCATACATTACAATAGAAGCACAAGGGCTCTTTATTTAAACGGTGACAATATTATCAGCAAAAAAACAAAATTTATTCAAATAAATGCTATTAAAAGAAATATTAACCAATAAAGGTGAATTAAATTTAATTTCAACAACTGTATTTAATGATTGATAATTAATCATTTGAATTTTTTGCTCTATTTTGTCACCAAATGTAGTTTTAGAGTAGTATTTCACAGTAAGATCGAAAACATACTATGGGAATTCATTGTTTTGTTCCCCAGTTATTATTATTGTTATTATTATTATTATTACTATTATTATTATTGTTATATTATTATTATCATTATTGTTGTTATAATTACTATTATAATTATTATTATTATTGTTATTATTATTATTATTATTATTATTATTATTATTATTATTATTATTATTATTATTATATCGAGCATGTCATTGTGATTTGACGATTTGTGATTGTGATTACGTGATAATTAACGAGAGTATTTGCCGGTGGAATTTAATGCAAAAGGAGTCAACGGGACTGGAATCATCAAGTCACTGGAATTTTTTGAAGGTCGGTCTTTAATAAAATGGCTAAGTCTCTACATATCGAGATAACATTCAACAATTATTCTTAACGAAACAATGAATCACATAATATGTAAATACATACTTACCAGTAATACACGATTTTTTCTGACCAAAGTGAATTTTTCATTTGTTGTATCTTCTTTCGTTTGTGTTACTTCTGTTTTTCATACTCTCATCTATTCTTTTATTTACGTTTTTCAAAAATGTTTGTTTTTTTTTTTTTTTTTCCAATAAAATCACTAAATTATTTTCTTTCAGAAATTTTAATAGAAAAATTTTTATCAACAAAAAAAATATTTGGATCATTAAAAAAAATTAAAAATAAACATTTTTAATAAACTTTCATTTTATGGGTAAGGTATAAAAATTCACGTCGGAGCAGAAAAATAAAAAAAAAAAGTTAAAATGAAACATTACTAACTAATAACTACAATATTATTATCCAAACAGGACGGGCAGTTATGCTGTAGCTACGATTACGGCTGCGCTGGCGATATTGGGCTCAAGCAGCACCCAGTCACTGTTGGTGAGCCTGATCCTGTCTCTGTTCCGAGCGATCCGAGCAGTTCGGGCAAAAATTTCACTCCACCGGAAGCAGCAGTATCAACGATTGAATCAGCAGAATCTGACCCAGACTCAGCATCGTCCTCCAGCAGCTTCACTGTCAGCAACCTCGAGTATTATTCCACGTCGGATCCTCGAGCTGATAAGCTCGTGTATTCCGAAGCTCCGAACCCATCATCATCTCTGCCATCATTGTCATTGCCATCATCAGAAACAGCATCACCACCACCACCACCATCATCATCATCATCATCATCAGCTTCCACTAGCTCAGTGGTACCTTCAATCAAAGCGGCAGTACCGCCAAGAAAACGCGGAGACCCCGCGACTGAAATCAATATCGAGCAGTCACGTAGTATCGCTAAAAATCTCATCTCTTTCCCAAAGACACCGTCAGTTCGTCGCAATCAGATTGACGGCAGTCGCACCTTGGTGGCGGTATCCGCGAATAACAATTATAATGATAACAATAACAATAACAATAATGATAATAACAATAACAATAATAATAAAGAGCCACGAAAAAATACTGTTGTTAAACGTGGTAGTTTTAGTAGATCATCATATCTATCAGCTTCTTCACGTCTCGTCGGTAGCAATGACGCCACTTGAGCAGTTTAATAATTATCTGGTCAATGTGCCGACGAGTTAGAGGTTTTATTAAAGGACGCGGTTTAAGAAGGCATTTATTAACATTAAATGATGAGTTAAGGACCAATCAAGTGCCGTCATTTTACCGTCAAGCGGCCTTGCGAGCATTGCGAAGAAAGCTTATTTAAAAAAAAAAATATTAAAAATTTTTAAAAATACAAACTGTTGTTAACAATTAACAATGATTAATCAAAGCCATCAATTAAAGTAATGTACTTTTTTAATTAACTCAATATCCTCAATGGTGATGTTAATAATTTATCAATCTTTGTTTTACCATTTTATTACTTGGGAAATAATTAGTGATGGATCACTATTAACTGCACGAATTAATGGACGATTAATGAAGAAATATATATCTATGTCTTTGTATAATAAATATATAAATTATATTAATTAAGTACTTGAGTAATTTGTTTTTTAAGAGGTAAAAGTTGATGAAAGTTATGTTAATTAATTTTGAGCGACATCACCAAGAGTTTGGTTTTAATAACAATAACGATTACTTATGACTTATGATATTTATATTGTTATTAATAATTTGAATATATAGTTAGTGAGAAGAATAAAAAGCTCATCAATATTGCTTTGTATGTAAAAAAAAAATAAAGATAATAGTAATAATAAGAAAATGAATATTTGTGCCGGACGATGAACGTGCCGAGCTTGTTCGATTGGTTCCTTGATTACATTATAGATATATATATATATATATATATATATATATATATATTTTTTTTTTATTTGTGATTAATAATTTTTTTTTAACTATTGATTATTTTAATTGAATAATTGAAATGTTTTTTGGATCAATTTTTTTCGAGAAAATTTATTTTTATTGGTTTTTAGTTTTTACATTTATTATTAATAGTAATATTTGCCGACAGATAATCGATGCATAACAATCGCTTATTGCAATTAAAAAGCTAAGAATTATTTTTTTTTCTTTGGCTTTAGATCTGCGACATAAAGAACAAATATTTTGTACACTGTATCAAAATATTATTATTATTGTTATTAATTATAATTATCATTATCATTATATCTAATTATTATCAATAAGTGTTACCTTTAAAATTAATATTGATTTTGTTATTATCATCATTACTATAATTAGATTTCGAAAACTCACTTTATATTATAATTATTTATTTATTTATTAATTCCATAGAATAAATTTTCAGCGAATAAACATTACAATTGCTCGATATATAATTACTCAAATCCAAGATATTAAATAAAATATTACAATAAATTTTTTTAATTCATTTTATATAATTACAATTAATAATATTTTATCAATAATTATATTTCATTCGGTCCATAAATTACTCTCTTATTAATTATTTACGAATATTGTCGCAGTTTAATTGCAATAAAATTAAAATGAAAATTTAATAAAAACAAAAAAAAAATATTTTTTTAAAAAAATTACTCAGTAATGATTAATTACCACCCATAACATGAAATTTTATATTTTTTTGTCAGTCGTGACACCTATCTCTCAATTAATATTCATTAATAATAATAATAATAATTATTATTATTATTATTAATGAATATTAATTGAGAGATAGGTGTCACGACTGACAAAAAAATATAAAATTTCATGTTATGGGTGGTAATTAATCATTACTGAGTAATTTTTTTAAAAAAATATTTTTTTTTTGTTTTTATTAAATTTTCATTTTAATTTTATTGCAATTAAACTGCGACAATATTCGTAAATAATTAATAAGAGAGTAATTTATGGACCGAATGAAATATAATTATTGATAAAATATTATTAATTGTAATTATATAAAATGAATTAAAAAAATTTATTGTAATATTTTATTTAATATCTTGGATTTGAGTAATTATATATCGAGCAATTGTAATGTTTATTCGCTGAAAATTTATTCTATGGAATTAATAAATAAATAAATAATTATAATATAAAGTGAGTTTTCGAAATCTAATTATAGTAATGATGATAATAACAAAATCAATATTAATTTTAAAGGTAACACTTATTGATAATAATTAGATATAATGATAATGATAATTATAATTAATAACAATAATAATAATATTTTGATACAGTGTACAAAATATTTGTTCTTTATGTCGCAGATCTAAAGCCAAAGAAAAAAAAATAATTCTTAGCTTTTTAATTGCAATAAGCGATTGTTATGCATCGATTATCTGTCGGCAAATATTACTATTAATAATAAATGTAAAAACTAAAAACCAATAAAAATAAATTTTCTCGAAAAAAATTGATCCAAAAAACATTTCAATTATTCAATTAAAATAATCAATAGTTAAAAAAAAATTATTAATCACAAATAAAAAAAAAAATACACTATACTTTTTGAAAAAATTCCATTGAAAAGAAAATAAAAATGCTGTTGCTATAAAATGTATATAGTTATATGTTATATTAGTTAATAGAGATAATAATTAAAAATAAATGCGGATTTCGATTATAATTAATACTATTACAGTTTTAAATAAATAGACTTTAAAAGTCTTAAATCTTATTAACGAGGTCGTAAAATTAAAAAGTAAATGTAAAGTCGCAGGCGTCCTGTTATTAAAAAAAAAAAAAAAAAAAAAAAAAGAAAAAAAAGAGGAAAAAAAAAACATACGTTGGCACAAACATAATAACAATATAAATTAAATTCTTAAATAAACGAGTTATTGTAATAATTAATGTAAATTAGATTTAAATTGCCTAATGCGTGTTTATTGATTAAATTTAAGTCCACCAATGCATACATGATTGAATCTTAATTAGTAAACAATAATTGTACTGTCGAGTTAAAATTATATCGGCTATGCTGAAATTGTTTACGACGCCATTTCATATACTTCGTCTGGTTAATTAATCTGTATTACAATTATATTAATATAATATATTATTATTTTGTTAATTTACTAACGGCAATATATATGTGAAAGAAGAGTTTGAATATTTTGAAGCTAAATTACAAGATTATTATTTCGTTCATTTGTATATATAGGCGCAATTAATTATTATTTAATGAATAAATAAAATACTTATGTATGTATATGATAGGAGGGATAGATAGATAGGTAGATAGGTAGGATATAATGGGAAATGAAATGTCGGGTCACTTTAAAAAATATATAAATATATACGAAATAAGAGGTAGTGATAGGATTAATAAAGTCTTATGACTTATTACGACAATGGTCTTATATATATATTATTACTTTCAAAATTATTTTTTGTATATTAATTTTAGTGGTATTTTATCTGAATAAATGTATCGTATTTTATTTTTATAATTAATTTATTTAAAAATTGTGTAATTCTGTTTTTTACGTAAAAAATGAAATCAATTATAAATATATATATTTTTCTGGATTGTAATGGATTACTAAATTAATGGGTGTGTTGTGTCCCGGCAATTCATGAGTTTACTAATTAAAGATAATGATAATAGTATATAAATAAAATAATTAAAGTAATAAGTAGAGGAGAAATGAAGATTAAAATAATTATTTAAGAATGAAGATTAAGAAAAAAAAAAAAAAAAAAAAAAAAAAAAAAAAAAAAAAAAAAAAAAGGTT